ACCAGCCAAAAGAAAATATTTCTCGTTGATGTTTGCGAGACTGTACACTTCCTTTTTTCCGCATTTTGCCCGTCTCTTTCTCTCTGTATCTCAGTCTTTCTATTCCTGTTATTCTTTCTCCATTTCTCTCCTTCGTTCTTTCACAAACACATACACACTTTCTTTCTCTCTCTGTCTCTCTCGCTCACTCATTCTTTCACTGTGTTTCCTTCCATTTCTCAACCCTCTTACCGACACAGGAATACTTGTACATTGTTACCAAAAAAAAAAAAAAAAAGAAAAATCGAAGATCGCACCGGTGTTCTCCCGTTTTCGTGCAATCGTGATAATTTGCTCCACGATTCGAAGAACGGGGAACACCGTTACGATCCCCCTCCGTTTACAAAATCGGCCGCGTTCCTCGCAATTGCATTTCTCTTCTTGAATTTTTTTGATTTCTTTCTCCTTCTCGTCGACATTAGGGGAGTAGCATGCGCACTAACTCTTCTCGAAACTTGTACATAGAAACACGACTTTTATCGCTTGTGCGTCGAAAGGAACAGAGACCATCGGTTCGCGAATGAAACAAGGCAAACGATGATATTTCCGGAAAGAAACAGAGAACAGAAAGAAAGACAAAAACAAAGAAAAACGGTACGTTCTGTTTCTTTCGTCACGCACAGATACCGCTCCTTCTTCGTATGCGAAATTCATAGCTAGCTGCTTGGGGCTCGAAAGTAGGGATACGACGAACGTGCATTACTATCTCCTTCCTTGATTTACAAGCAAAAAAAAAAAAGAAAGAAAAGAAGAAACGATAATCTACGCATTTCGATCGCGTGGACGCGTGATCGAGCTCGAGAACGAATCGATTCGAAAAGGAAATGACATCAGACTGAGGTAGTTTCGACGATTCTTTCTCGATGCCCGCGCTAGCAAAACGCGATCGCTTTTCAGGACCATTCGCGAAACTTACCTTTCACTTTGGAATAGCGATAAATCGACAGAGCACGACAGACTAACGGAGAAAAAAGAAAAAAAAAATAGAAGAAATATGAAGTATCGCTATTCTAAGGGGGAAAAGGTGGCTTTCGTTCAGGCGCATAGCCTTAACGTGGATAGAAAGAGGAGGAACGATCTTGAGTCGCGAATCGTCATCGCACACGGAGAGAATTATTTAGCTGGTCGCTTAGCGTTTTATATAATAGCTTGACACTTGCTCGCGAAAGTGAGCGCACTTGTGAGAGATCGGCAATATTACGCGTCTCGAAAAAGAGAAACAAAAAAAAAAAAGTTAAAAATGACGAATAGAAGCGAGCGAACGAACGAACGAACGAACGAACGAACGAACGAACGTACGATTGCATCCGAGGATTTTTTTAAAAAACAGACCGTCCGACTCGTCGCTCGGTCGCTCGGTCGCTCGAACATCGCGTACTAATAAAGCCGTGAAATCCTGTGTTCCAGCCGAGGACCTGAGCATCACCGGGCTAAAATGGGCGGCAGCCTGGCAGAGATGGAGCGTGCCCTCGATCATGTGGCGATCCGGCGGTGGATTGGGCAAGGGCCTCGGCTCCGGCTCCTCGAACCCGGAGGGTTTCAATTGCCCGGCCTGCGGCCGTGTCTACAAGCTAAAGAGCAGCCTGAGAAATCACCAGAAATGGGAGTGCGGCAAGGAGCCACAATTCCAGTGTCCCCACTGCGTTTACAGGGCGAAGCAGAAGATGCACATCGCGCGGCACATGGAACGGATGCACAAAGAGAAGATCTACAAGCAGGAGCTCGTGTAACGGGGTCTGCTGGGAACTCGCGGAGACCGTCGACGTCGTCGTCGTCTGGCCGCGAAGGGGCCTGGCCGTGTAAAACGAACCAAGACCGCCGCGACATCGTTGTGTCATTTTCTAGGCAAAGATCACCAACCACCACCTCACGACGACTGGTCCCCTTTCGCGTTCAGTTGAGACGTAATTCCAACACAGCGATCGCGCGAACGCAGTGAAAACACAGAGAAAAAGAAGTGATATAACAGAGAGGGAGGTAAAGGATCGATGGCAAGTGACGAGGAGAGGGCTAGAGAGAATCTTTGGGGGTGAAAGATTGGGGAGAAAGTGAAGAACGGAACGAGGCTAACTCAGCGACGATGACGATCGAGGGCCGATCGAGTAAAGGACGGTGAGACGCAAAAGACGACGCGGCTAAAATGATCGCGGCAGCCTCCTGCAAAAACAAAACAAACGCGGCAAAACTGCCACGATCCTTCTTGTCTCGATATTTTCGATTCTATTTTTTTTAACGTTTTTCTAAGGTTTATTATTAATTAATTAATTAATTATCATTATCATTGATTGATTGATTGATTGATCGCTACTATTAATTATTATCGATTAATTAATTAATATTATTTTTGTCGCGTAATAACGAGAGACCGCGTCAATCTCCTGCTCGGGGCGATGTCTTCGTAATAGCGAGAAAACGCGTCCACTGGAATTTATTCGCAGCAAACACACAGGCACATGAAACACACAACACACGGGGAACACACGGTTGTTCCGAAGCAAATCGTAACGAGTAGTAATAATGATAATAATTAAACGTTCCTCTTCTATTTCGACGATCTGCTGTGGACTTTGTCGCGATCGCGAAAACGACATTTCTGAAATATCGCGGGCTTTTCTACACACACACACACACTCCTTATGTACACTCGCCGCGCATAAGCGTTTTGTAGCAGCGGGGTTGCGAACAGAGTCCATCGCGGTTTTTAGTCGCGCGACAAACTCGTTCATCGCGTTCATCGACGTATGATTCTACGTATTATTATTATATAGAGACGCTAGAGCAGCGGGCCCGAGCCTAATGACGCAACAGAGGTTTTTTTTTTGTTCTCTCTCTTTTAAATAAGCAGAGTCGTCCGTTTTATAGAGAGCGGCCCGCCCCGAGTTGGATTAGGACCGTCCGGTAAACCGGAGCTCTTCCATAGCAACCATTCTGGTCACACTGGTTCCATATTTTTAATACGGGCGAAGCCGTGCGCGTGTGGCTCACCGGGGACAGCAAAATCGCGAGGGAAAGCAATTCTCGAAAATTCTCACAGAACCTTGCCTCTTGTAACGTGTGTGTCGTTATCTGTGGAACGTCGTTTTCGAGCTGGTACTCGTGCTTCCGTCCCCCCACAGAGTGTTAGACTCACACCCGTATATTATACATACGAGTTCACACACCCGACACAAATAGAGAACACCCGTACCTACTCTACATCGAACCCTTTTCATGTAACGATAAGTTCTCACCATAGATCAAGAATGTCGAACAGGCATGCACACTTGTACACACGTATACAGACACAGATGAGAGATTTTCAGCGCGATCGAACATCCGAAAACCCCGAAAACACACTTTCCGTTGCGCGACAAATCAACCCTCCTTCCAGAGCAGATCCCGCGATTCTCTTTGGAGGGTCTCGTTCCTCCTCCTCCTCCTCCTCTCGCGCGTTCCTTTTCTTCTGTTTTGTGTTTTTCCAGCCTTTCCGAGAAAAGGCAGCCATTTTATTATATTCCTTGTTGCCGCTTGAAAAGCGGCCAACTAAGAGAGGATACAGTATTAAGCACCGACTCGATCACCTCCCTTCGTGATCGTGTCGCGCATCTTTTGCTTCTCGCTAATTATGCTTTCTTCCATTCGCAGAACCCCGATGAACAGTGCACTCACACGTATACACAACCTACACACGCACACACACATATATATATACGTAATATGTATAATACGTTATGTAATATGTACACGAGATAGACATTCAGAGAGAGACACGTACACGTGCATATGGTTAATACATACATATTTTAAGTACCGCGGGATATTCCTATAGATTGTGATCGTCAGACTGCCAGATACACGAACCTAGTAGATTCCTATACGATGCATTTAAGTATATACATATATTTATATTATATAACGCGTATGATTAATGCTTTTTTTTAATTAAGCGATCCTCGAGTTAAGATCCCTCGCGTTCCCTCGTACGATACTTTTGTTCACTGCCGATGAGCCTATGAAAGAAGCACGTTCACCAGTTCGACACGACGAGCCTAGATTAATCGCATGCCGAGCACGGTGACACCGAAACCACGTCGACGAACGTCGTTCGTCCTTTTTCTCTTTGCTCGAGTACTTGGAGCCTTTTATACAACGTTCTTCCACTTTACGAGACAGTTTCACTCTCGCTATCGATTTACATAGAGCTCGGAGAGCTTGCGATTATCGTCGATCTTCTGTTACAACTGGAATAAAACGGGGCTTACCTTTTCTTTTCTAGATAACAAGGCTGTGGCTGTTGCGGAATCGCGTTATTCAGACGAATTGAGGTTTTGACGAATGAGAAACATCTCGAGGCTACGATGCATAAACTCGTATCGAGTTCGCCAGAATTCCAGTTCGTACAAAAATACGCGTCCACTGCAACCACAGCCTGAAGGTGCGTTTTAGACCAAAGGAACGAACAATTGTTCATCTTCTGCATCGGCGAAATTCGACTCTAAACGAGCCACTAAGAAGCCAAACTGACTAACTCCGTGGAATTAAATTTATTGAATTCGTTTTATTCAGGAAGAGTTAAGCACCAAGCTTTGACACTAAAATTCGAAGAATTTCGAGAAAAACGGAGTGGATCATTTTGGCTTCTCGAGTAACGCAAATCCTGAATCTACGAAGAATTGTTGAAAGTGTGAAGGCGCACGAGAGTGTTCGTTCGTTTGGTCTGAACGCAGTTTAAGACGATCGACGATAAGATCGAGCGATCCGAGCTGTACATTTGTGTAATCAGGCAAAGCTTGATTACAGCAGGCATGTGCCGCATGCGAATGTTCCTCAACTGCAGTTTGTTCGTTCGACCGTTCCCGACGTGGGCATAGAAAACGGTGGGGAAATTGGTAATAGGCCGTGCTCGGCTAGTACCTGGCATCGAGTCCCGTATTCCTACGCCAAATACGCGCGCCACGGCTGCCCGACTTTCCATACTGTAGACAATATTTATGAGACAAGCTAAACTAAACTATACTATACTCGTAACTCATATTATACAGTGTAAGTATGCGCAACGTCTGACGCGAACGAAGCGGTAGATTTAATTGTACTTTTTTTTTTTTTTTTTTTTTTTTTTTTTTTTTTTTTTTTTTTTTCTTCTCGTTGAGCGCACTACGCTCCGCGTTCACCGCGGACGAGTTCTCATCGCACACTATCCAAAAAAAAAGTGTCTCGAATGCTTTCATTCGATTTTTGTTTCTTCCCCTCCACCGAGGAGAATTCACGATTTTCCTCGTCGCAAAACACCAGTCTCGATGGGAACACCACAGCGATCGGCGCTTCGAACGGAGCTTTCGACATGCACGCGCGAAGCAGGCCAGGATCATCGACTCTTCTCCGTACGAGTGCAATACATTAGCCACCCTGCATTCTTTTTTCTCACTTCTTTCTTTTCGATACGTGTCCTCCTACTTTGTTTTATACGGATAGATCGAGAACTCGTTCGCCACGGACGCGTAATATTGTATGCTAAGCGAACAAACAAAACGGCTAATGATTCAAAGGTGAAAATGACGAAAGAATCAGCAGAGGGGTGATTACAGAGGGGGAGAAAGGCCCGGAGAGATGTGTGAGTCGAAAGGCACGAATAAAGACGTAAAGGCTTGGGTTTAGAAGGGTAGCAGCGACGACGGTGAGAAAAGACGGCAGGGGGAGAGAAATAACGATTTAAGAAGAAGAAGAGGAAGAAGGAAAGAACACGTTTATGGATCGACTTGATGCATAGTTACTGAGTAATATCAATCGATAATACTACTGCCTCGCGAGGCCTTGATGCGTGACGGCGGTCGAAATGAACAGGAAACGGAGCTGGTTTTCAAAATGGAATAACGAAAAAGAAACTCGTAGAGAAAGAGAGAAAGAGAAAGCGTGTATGCGAATGGGAGAGCGGCGATTTCGATGCCGACGAGCCAACCCGACCGCCGTCATCGACGGAGATTACTAGATTATTAGGCACGTAAGAAATACTATTAGTTAGCTCGTAGGTTTTAATGACTCCTTTCTTTTTTTGTATGTAAGCAGAAGAGAACGAAGAGACGCCTTAGCGTTCTCCGTTGTGAGAGTCTGTGGTCGGCCAAGCCGGATGAACATTAAGAGATAACGGAGTGGAATTTTTCAGACACAGAGAGAAAGAGAGAGAGAGAGAGAGAGCGAGAGCGAGAATTGTGAGGGAAGAATGTGGTAAAGAGGAGCGAAAGGGAATGTGTGCGTCTGTGTGAAAGGGTAATTTCAAGAGGAATGTTGGAAAGAGATCGCGGAAGGTCCTCGTCAAAGACGAAAGTGATAATAACTGTCGTGATAAAAGAAGATAAGGAAAGAAAAGAAAAAAAAAACAAACACACACACACACATACATACATACACATACGCAAACGTTAGACCGTTCGGCGTGAAAAAACAGAGGCGGCAGGAGAGAACGAATCGTTGAGCGGATGATTCGACTATTTTTTTCCCCCGAACAGGATGTTCGCTCGTTCGTCATATTCCGTCGATCCGTAATCGAGAGTTTGCCGGGGACGCATCCGTGGAGAAACGTTCGATTTTCGCGATTTCTTTCTCTCAGTTTGTTCAATCCGATCGGGTACGTCGTTTATTCGTTATCGTTGCGTGCCAGGCATCATCGAGAATCGAACCTTTTCTTTTCTTCGCCAGTTTTTACAATTCGCGCAGAGTGTGTGTGTAGGTTAATAATTCGGATTAATTGGGAATT